AGCGGTATAGAGCTGTGATTGGTTAAAAATGTGACACCCAGCCAATAAAAAAGGCGAGAATGTATTGTTGGAGAAGTTGTAAATAACTTAAGCGTAAACAACTTTTCGGAGAATTTCACCCAAGTATTTTGTGCAAATCCATCGATTTACTGAGCTTCTCAGACATTTGAAGAGAAAGGTGAGGTTCTAACTTCTCAGTTGAAAGACATCAACTATCTGGCAGCATGAAGTCCAAAATGGAACATCGATCATTTGTGGTATAGGCTAATTGAGAATCAGATTAGATCGATTTGAAGTGTCCGAACTATTGTCACCATGAAAGTAAAGTATAACCGAGAAGTAGCTTGAATTTTCCAAAGTGTTAGGGGTACAGCATACATAACACCGTTAGTTTATACACTATGCTTTGGTGGGTTACCAAATTATATCGCCGGTAAAATAACGATGTTGTGTGGTTCTAGAGAGAAAAGGCAGACTTTTCTATTGACATAAGGTTGGGTGGCTATTTGGTTTTGATAATTAGTATAATAATTGAGCAATTAGCAAGTAATTCAACTGAAAAATTATTTTGTAGTTAGAAAATCCAGAGGGCTTCGTCTGGTGGAATTGGATCACTAAGTTTCGAATCCAACTAGCTCCTGCCATGAAAATTTCACCTGATCTATCACATCAGAAGCATACGATCATTTAAAAAAACATAAGGGGTAGTGTAGCTAAGTAGTGAGGCTAGATGTCAATTCACTTTCGAATTAAGGTGCTCACTAAGGTGCTTTACTAACTGATCCATGAACAGGGTCTGTTCATTAAAATATGCTAATACATTAGCACTTGAGCTATATACACTCCTCAACTTTTTTTTTCCAAGAAAGGTTTTTACTTGTGACACAGCTTTCACAATGTCGTTATCAGTGGCTTGACCAATGTTATACTCCTCTTCCTAATTTCAGCCTCTCGTCGTGCTAAGTCAAGACCAGTCTACCAAAATTGATCGTTGTTGAATTCCTTGGTAATTACCTGTTTGAACAAGTCTTTTATGGCCACTGGAACAATACAATGCCCAGGATGTGGCCAGAATATCATGCAAGGTGCTGCAGTAGAGTGCAACTTTAAACCAAGTTCCGAAGCTGCAACACGTCAAAAGGTCTTTGATGTACCTCAAGAGAGACACTGGCTGTGTATGGAGTGCAAATACATAGTGGAAAATCGCTATGGTGACTTATCAACCGTGACAACAGAAGATGCTTACACTTTGCTTTACAGTGTCAGACTAAACAAGAAATCTAATTGCTGTAATCCCTGTGCAGTTATATAGCATAACCCTGTCATCAAATCTAATAGCTAGTGAAAAGCATTACTGTTGCATGTTACTGGGTAATGTTACTCTAATTGCTGTACAATGGACAAAGTTGTAACTTCCATGCATTGAGTATGCCCTTTCAGCCCTTCATGATGATCCATTACCCAAACAAGAGATTCAAGCAAAAAATGACAACTCAAAAGCAACAGCAAGCTCAAATGCTCACAGATTTATTCATACTGGTCCATCTGATGTTCATTAACAACAGAGATTGCAGAATTGCATGGTTTTCCAGCAATCTCTGTTGTCAAGAATTGTTATTGATAATTCTCAGTCAAAAATCTCCAAGCTACACACATCCCAAAATCATAACAGACTGAACAAATGACACATACAAAATTCTTTGTTCATAAAGAAACACCAATCTGGTGCCAGCTAGGGATTCATTTTATTGTGTTTCCTTTGTAACTGAGGTAATGCGATTCTAAATACCACAAACTGCCTGTTATGTTCTTAGAAAATGAGCAGTTTAAATTTGGATTTTTTTTTCCATGTTTCCTTAAATGGGAACCCTTCTATCCAAATACATAAAATAAGACAAATGAATGCCCCTTTCAAGATAATGAAAAATGGCAAACATTACAAGGTTATTTTAAAATATTATCATTATTGTATCTAACCCTAATTGTGTACATTGTATCATGGCCTGTTTGAGGGTCCTCAGTGACATTCTTTTTCACCTCACACCATATTTTTGATGGAATCTAGGATAGTTTTCCATTTTTTAACAAGTTTACTTCTGTGAAAATACATTTTTGCCTATCTATTGGGTACCTAAAAATGTAACAAAGGCAGAATGTTTTGCATCTAAATCTGCACTACTGTGTGGTGAAGTGAAATACCTAGAGCCTTTCGCACAGCATATATTTAAATATAGCATTTTTTGAATTGTAGAACATCAGTCTGAAGATACCATAGATAATGATAACCAGATTTGCAATTAAATTAAAGATAAATACTGTGCAAATATTTTTCCATATGAATTATTTTTTACAAGAATCTTAAGTATACATGATGACCAAAATTGATATGTAAATCCCTTTACCCTTAACATTAAATAGATGAGAGGAGTTGAGTCATTCACAAATTATTGGACAGACTTATTTTTAAATTCTGTGGATCTTTCACTCACTGGAGATGATGGTGCACTTTTAGAGCCACTTGGCTCCATCTTATTGGAAAGCCTGAGAAATGAATTAAGCGAAGATCTCCTTGTTGCAATGGAACCAGTGCTGTTTTTTGTCCAGGCTACACCAGCCAAAGGTCTCATTATTTGAACTGCTCCTAAACTTGGGGACAGTGAACTGTTCACTAACACATTAACGTTAGTTTCATCTGATTTCTTATCTTTCCTAAGGGAGCCATCTGAATATTGAAAATCATTTGTTAGGGCTTGCATTGTGTCATCTTGAGTTTCTTCATGAGAAGCATTATTGGCAGTGACAACCATCTGTGGAATTTCTAGACAAATTTCAGAGTCTCCTGTCTGCAATGGTATGATTTCCTCTACATCATCTGCTGTAGAAATTCTTGCAGATGCTACATTTCCTGGAACATTGAGAGAAGCCTGTGAGCTTTGGATGTTAAAAGAATTTTTACCCGAAGGTCCAAGTGCCATTCCACTTGAGTGTCGTCTGGTTTCTTCATTGACACTTTCAGAGACTGTCTGAAGTCCAGCCTCGAGAGTGCGAGAAGGAGCTGGTTCATCCTTTGATGCAACATGAAGAGATCCCTTTGAGGAAAGATTACAAGACTGACTTCCAGCATGTAGTGATCTAGTGGTGGCATCACGCTGAAGAAAGTTATATATCAACCAGTTCACTCTATAAAATAAAGGAAATAGAACAATTCTATCAGAAAAGCAATATTTCACTTCATTTTAATTGAGCACTTCCCAAGTCCTTAGATTTTTTTAGATGTACAAAAGAGACTCCACAATAAAAAGCTACGTGTGCTGTTAAAAAAACATGAGCGAGGAACTTATTCTGTATAGATGGTAACGACATTTATGATAATAATGAAAATTGTTTCAATTAATAAATGTTTATAAATCCATTTAGAAAGTTATGTAATGAGAGAGCCACTCTTAACAAAAATGATATGAAACTAAAAATTACTTCTTGGCACAGAGCTAGGCCAATTCTTGGTACAGCCCAAGTAAAGTCAGTACAGGAACTCAAAACAAGAGCATCCAATCATACCCTCTCTAAAATACGCTCATTCTCTGTTTTAGCAAAAAAAATGCTTTCTGACCTCACAGGAGACTCTACCATAACCATGTGGCCTGCATCTTGAATAACCTCTAAAGATGAACTGTATATTACCTATTACAAATGGAACCAAGTAGTGTTAATAAATATAGTATAAAAGCCTGAAGGAATGACTCACAAACTTTGTTGCTCAAACACAAACCTCTTGCATCCATTGCTCCTCCTCAAGAGTTACAAATTTGTCCTGTGCACCATAAATCAACAATGCCGGCACCATCAGTTCCTGGTGATATGTCTCATCACCATCTTCCCACACCTGGAAAACATTGTTTGACTATGTATTACACCATGTTCTAAAGATGAACCACAAAATCGCTGAGATCTCTCTGTCACGTTATTCTTAAATTAAGGTGGTTTTAAAACAAAAACACTACCCAAAATGTAACATTTAAAGACTCAGAGGGATTTACTGACCTGTCCTGCCATAACAGCTTTCATTACAAAAGGTGGAGCACTAAAGGCTTTCACTTTCTTCCTGAGTGATCTTGCTCTCATGCTGTTGTATGCCCTCCTGAAATAATTAAAGTCATGAAATTTTTAACCAGACACCAGTTATTGTGCAATAAGAATGTAATATTTAATTCTTTACTCAGATTTGAAGATTTTCCTCCTCAAATGTATGGTTCTAATGAGATCTTTGTTTCATTTCTGAGTAATTTTCCCATCTTCAGTTTGTACCTTGGGAGCTGGGGGTTCAAGATGACTATTGAAAATGTTTGTTTCAGCTGAGTATCTAACAATTTGTAGAAAAAATTTTTTTTCTTGGTCATGTTAAAGATGTTTATTCTGCAAAACTAACCTCTCATAGACAGACAAAAACACAGGTTTGATACAAGACAGTAGAAGTGTTGGTAAGCAGAACACATCACAGGTACCCACACCCACAAGTGGTGTAGGACCTCCACCAGATATGAGGACCATCTTGGACACCAGTCGAGCACGCTCACATGCAATCACTGCACAAAATGATGCCCTGAGTAAATTATAAAATATTGTTAAAAGGCATGGCTTGCCAACCACCATGGTGCTGACTCTTTGACAAAGTTTTTTCAGTTGTCAAAAGTAACAAGCACCAAAAAAAAAAAAACAAACAAACAAAAGATATGAAAAAACCAAAAAAAAAACATGAAACAGAAGGCTGCATCCTGATCGCTCCCTACCCTCCCCCCCTAATCCACCCTTTCAAGTAACAAGAAACAAGGAAATATCAGTTGACCCTTGAACTCCTAGAAGTGATGAACCTGTAACTTCTCCCTTTAATATCCATACAGTATCCAGCAAACAGGAAATAAGAATACCCTAGTGGGATTAATAATACAAGTAGAATTAATTAAATTGGTCTAACAGCAAATCCTCGGAACTAATTTACAAGGAATGTGAAGCAGCTAGAATAGAGAAATACCAATCAGTTATGCAACTTCCTGGACTGAAAGCAAGCACAGTACAAAGTGCACCACACGACACTCCTCGTTGAGTCAGATCGCTTTCCTTTGGAAAGTACCCTCGGGGCCGGGCTGTTTGTCACAGATAGTTCCGTAAGGAACTGATCCATCATCGGATACAAAGGGCGCAACAGATGTACAGAAACATGAAGACTTACCCATACGAATGTCCTACTAAAACGTTCCTCTTCTTATGGTATCGATCAAATAAACGAAGTAAATCATACGAAAGTTCAGAAAATTCGTAATCTGAGGTATTGTTCGGTGCGGAGCTTTGCCCGTGTCCTAGCAGGTCAGGCGCTATAACTTCGTAACCTGCCTTGCAAAAGTATTGTACTTGTTCGTACCAAAGATCAGCGCTACCACCAACTCCATGTATGAAAAATATTACAACTATCTTCTTGTAATCAGGATCACCAACTCCAGAAGTGGCTGAACCCGCCGAATGAGCCGAGCGATTAGACTGAAGATCATCACGGCTGTAACCGCTATCGGATCTCGATATTCGAGGTTTGTAATGCACTACTCTCAACCACCTGCCTTTTCGTATTTCGACTCTTTCCGAAGGTAGATCAGAAACAGGAACAACTCTATTTTGATTACGTCCTCCAAGCGCTCCACACATTGAGCACTTTTGCAAAATATTTTCCCCGGCTTTTGAAGTTTTAGCGCACTGCAGCCTTCTTATCAATCCTCTACGAACTCAAGGGATATTCGCCAAATTATGTAAGCAATGTTGCACCCGCTGTTTGTCGTATAAGATATGGCGACCTCAAGTCCATGTTCTTCAAATAATAGCTATTTCAAGCATCAAATTAATAATGTCCAGAGCAACGTAAGCTGTCAGAGAAGTTGGCACAGATAAGTGACGAGTGATATGTTTAAAGCAAAATTACCATTCCACGCAATGAGAATACTCTCCTCAGCGACTAGGAACGCAAAGCATAAATATATTCAAAGCTTCATGTTAAGTTCGATCTTTTTCTTGCTAAGTCTTCTTTGGTGCCTGAAAAATAGAGCGCGTCTTGATGACAAGACTAAGTGCTTCTTTACAAGAAACTCCCGGCTGATAAACAAAACATGAAAATGCTCTTGTGTTAGCAGTTTTCGGCGTTGATACACGTTGGATGAGTGGGGTCGTTTCTGTGTCTCGAACAGGCTTGGAAGAATTTTACATAATCAAGAATCGCCTTGGAAATTTTACCATAACTCGCTATCGTCGCACAAAAGACTCCTGAAATGACACGAGGTTAATTGAGAAGATTGCTTAATCCAAATTACTCCAACCGCAGTCTTACTGTTCATGATATACATCCGCAGTATTGCACCGGAAATCACGTCACAACATTTGTTGCTAAGAGAAACGAATACAATAAGTGATCTACATAGGGCAAATTATAATATTTTTACTGTTGATTGTTTATTCAATTATGATGTGTTTGAAACGATATATTACATGTTGCATGATAATTTAACTAAAATTGTGCATGTTGCTTGGAAACACAGAGATCAATGTTCAAGTGCATGTGCAGGGGAACATTTGCCCTTCATTAATGATAGTTTACATTGTAAAACCAAGCACTTCTGGTTGCTAATATTGATAATTGCATCTAAAACTACATCAAGTTGAAGAAGAAGGAGAGAAACTCTGAGGTAGCTTAAGGTTAATGTCAAAAAATTAAAAGAAAAATGTAAAACAAGTTCACTTCTAGATTGTAGGGTAACCATGCTTGCTTAATTAAGTAACTACACGGACTAAATATTTACCTTATTACCTCAACAAAAGGCACAATAGAGTCTCTCTTCCTATTCAAACAATTTAACCATCTAACCCTAACCCTTGATTTTCTAGCATATAATTCAAACAAATTCATCATGTTCCATCCTCTGTTTTATCTCCTAATGGAATCTTCACTTGCTCTAAATAAGCACCAGCAGGAAATCTAGGTGGAGGATCTGGGTCCAGACCTTCTCTTCCTTCAGGCCCATGTTCTTTGATTTGTTTTTATACTTCTTGTCAATAAAATTTGTGCACTAACAGGATCACATGTTACTACTAAAACATACAGTATCCAAAATTCACTTATCTTGAAATATTTCTCAGTTCATCCAGGCTCTAGTTTCTGAATCAAAGTTTCAACTCTTCCCCATAAAAAATTCCTGAATCCACCCCTGAACATAATGAGAAGACAGTTATGGCTAACACTGACTCTCCCACAAACTTGCAGTTTTTAGCAGAAAATCAGTTGACAGGTCTTTGACCTGATATCAGACCAGTGGTAAATCTAGTGGCAAGGCACAGGTAGCAAGACTGACAACCAGAATATTTTGTATAAAAAGTTATTCTAAGATCCCCTTTCCTATCTTTAGTAGTTATGATTGTTACTGGAAATAAATAAATAAATTTCAGAGTGAAAGTTTCAACTTAATATCACAATAACTCTTTGTTGGCATCAGAATGCTATCCTATTTTTGTTTTTGAGCAAAAATAATTCAGAAAACAAATATTTCTAGATGCATCAATTTAAAATGAATCAGGGCCAGCTAAATTGACCATAATATCATATATCTTGTTGTACCCAAATATTTAAAAGAAGTTACCTAAAGTGGTCTTTTAGGCAATTAAACAATCTCTCTAAAACACAAAAGAATGCAAGCCAAATTAATTTACTAACAACAAAGCCTTCATTTTGATAATATCTGTTCTTTTTACACCCATAAGTTATTTGAACCTCATCAATTTACAGCCAGGTCAGTACATGTCAGTTATAACTTATTGCACATAATGATTATAATTAGCTCTTTGCAGATTACATTTTGGAGTTTTTTTTTTCAAGCAAACTGTACCTTGATTTTGGTTTTGATATAATAATTTAATTCACTGATCAAATTCAGTTATAAATCATCCTTGAGTGAAGTAAATCTTACAATTCTTCACTGACTTTCCACTGTGCCTTATCCCAATGGCCCAGTTTTGATGCATTCATTTTCAAATCCATCACTTCACTCAACTGACCTCTATATGCAATTCAAGAGCTGAATGGGCTACAGAGCTTGCCAGCCTAATTCCTTGCCGCATAACCATGCTATGTATTGTTTTACATCAAATTGCAAGATATCAAATTAAAACTGCACCACTGCAAATCTAGGCACTGATCTTATGAGTTTTCATTGAAGTAAACTTTCACAGCTATTAACCTGGCTGAATTTCTCATCTCAGTCAATAAAGTTGCAAGTTATTGTTTTGGAAAATCCCAACAGGAGCTCAGAGATACTAAATCTTCTAACTTCCTCTGCAAGTCTTATGCTTGTTCCATTTCAACCAAAACTCCACCACAGTCTTTTGGGTGTAAAAACACTACAGGTTTACCATGAGCACCAATCTAACCAAATAATAAAATACCAAAATAAAAATCCTTAAAATCTGAACTCAGAAAACTGTTTAGTCACAAACGTTATGTAACTAAATAAAGAGTTACATTTGTTCAATATTCTCATTTTTACCTTTGGTTCTGGATTCAGGGCTCTAATATTATGTTCTTGTAGATCCTTCATAGCCTCTTTTATGTCATCAACCTACATAAAAATTTGGTGTAAAGGAATGTGACAGTCACAGACCACAGGCAATTTCTCTGTGTGGGAAGCTCATTCAAAATCTTTCGACAAAAAATTGAAAACAAATATTTGCCTGACCTCAATACAGATGTGATGAATTCCACCATCTTTTTTTTTATTCAGAAAACCTGCTATTGGGCTGTTGTCTCCCAAAGGATGTAAAAGCTGATGAAAGATAATATATGAACAAATTATTCATTTGCTTTCCTTTTCCCAAAAGATTTTGTATCCTCATCATTGATAAAATAATTATTCATTGATCATTCTAGTTTGTCATAAATACATTTAGAGAAACAAGTACACAGTTTATAGAACAAGAGAGATGGTAAGTTTTGAGCTCAGTGAAAAATAGAGAAAGAGGTTTTTCATCTTGTCACAAGCATAGGAAAAAGAAAAAATTCTGAGTCTTCATGAGGAATTGAACCTTAGACCTTCAGATTCCACCCTCTGGTGCTTTACAACTGAGCCACAGACTCCATGAGTGAGGCCCAGTACGAAGCTCATGTATGACATGTGCCCTGCATACTGCTAGGATCAGCAATGTCAATAGCGTCATGTTTTTGTAAACAGAATAATAAAGATGGTAAGTTTTGAGCTCAGTAAGGAAATGGACAAAAATTTATTTCATCTTGTCATTAGCATGTGACAAAGAAAATCTGGGAGATAAAGGGTGAAAAGGTTACCAATTGGCAAAAACAAAAAAAACTTTCACAAGACTTACTTCAAGTTTAGTGTTCCCCAAGTTAACAAACACAGTGGATACTCCATGTTCTGGAAGATCCTAAGTAAGGAAAAAAGGATTGATTAAATATTTCATAATGATATAAATTATAAACAGAGAAGATTTCATGTGTTGCATAATATATTAGTAAGTGGTGTGTGAAATAACAGCTCTCAACGCAGCATCAATTTCTCCCTGTGTTTCACAAGGGAATTAGAGAGAGTTTGAAAGGAGAATCTAACATTCTATCAGATGTCACTGAGGACCTTTTGTTCCATATCTCCTTTGATTAACTTAAGCTTCATTCAACTTGACTCACTTGCACATCACTAACATCAGCACCTAATACATTCCTATACATCTTGCTTGCGTGGTCTACAATAAAAACAAAAAACAGATATAACTCTTTTTGTAAATATGATAGCAGATGGTGGCTTAATGCTTAGTGTGCTAGATGAGAAATGAGAAATTTAGGTTCAAGATCTGGTTAGGTCAATGTTTTGTCTTCTTGATTGACACACCTCCCTCTTGCAATGTCTCTCTCCACCCATGAATACTATGTATTTATTGTCTGAGTGGGATAGCCTAACAGGAGGTTGGTGCAAATAAATTCACAACAAACCTTTATCAGGTTGAATTTACAAATAATTCAACGAAGTTCCCATAGCTAAATTTTGACAATTAAAGTTGTCAGGTGGATTGTCAACATGACAATAGTCATTTTGATGACTCCAACTGTTCATAAGCGATAATTTACCTAGATCAGGAACAGCAATTGCAACGTGGTTGAGCTTGCCAAGCTTCCACAATTTTTCTTCCATTCCCTTCCAATACAACCAAAACATGAAGTTATGAGCAAAAATGAAAGATGTGTTTTTAGTAAGTATCAAATGTTGCGCAAAACTGCATTTAAAATGCAACGTCTTTATTTTAATTGCACATAAAAAATTCCATAAAATATTAAAAGCAAACTTGCTGTCGTTAATTGGCTTAAAGGTCTATCTGGATGTACCAGAGTAGATGTCACAGATATCAGTTACTGAGGATTTGTCCAATCTCCACCCCTCCCTGACCCCCTGCCCCGCCCCTTAACGGGCCAAATTGCACTCGCTAACCGTTACCAAGACATGTACATGCACTTTTACATAAGTAGAAAATATGCGCTTACAGAAGGTAATGTTGTCGATGAGACAGATACCCGCGTCATAACTTCGCAAAATCTTTTGATATCCATGAATGAATAAGAATTGCACTGAAAATATAGGTAAATAACCTTCTGGTCTCATCATTTTATCGAATGGGATCCCCTACCTGACAGAGTATTGCAGAGGTAGATATTCCATTCTTAATCTACGATAAAAGAAACGATTACACTTATCAATACAAAATAGTGTTAATATTTCATTTCATAAAAGCTTCTTACCGGAAAATTGCTGAAATTTCCCCAAGAAAACGGCAAAACCGCGGCTCGTAAAATTCTTGAAGTGCACAGTCTAAACGCCATGTTGATTTGACCGGCGGGGATTTTGGAGTCTGGTGACAACAGTGAATCGTGCGGACGTGCATGTAAACTTATGTAACTGTCACGTTAAGACCAGCAACCAGTTTCTCCTTACAGTCATCATGAAGATCATGAGAATAAATAAAATGATCACCAACCTAAGAAACACCGATTGTTCGATGTTGAAATTCTCTTGGTTCCAATCAAACTCAAGCGCAAAAGGCATTTGACTCTTACGTGTAGGGTACAAAATAAATGAGTATCTTGAAGATGTCCTATGAAGACTGGTATCCGCGTAAATACCCTGCGACACTTTCCAATTTTCTCAGTTCAAACATAGTCATTATATTTTTTATCCCTAAAACACCGCCCCCCCCCCCCCCCCCCCCCCCCCCATTACTTTAAAAAAGCCCATTGCAGACGACTTATTCTAGCAGGATAATTGATATTGAAGTTTGTACCTCTCTAATTTTTACCCGACCCTTTGTGGAGAATTATTCCTCATTTGTCATTGACAGGCAAATAAATATATTTTCCGTGTTAAAACAATTTGATGGCTCGGTTTTCAGAGGCGACCACCTAACATATAAGGCGTAAATAATAAGGATATCCCAACAATGAGTTAAGGTGCGGAAAACTTCCAAGTCATCTTCGTGATATTTTCATTCTTCTTTTCTTTCCTTTTGAATTCCATTCAGTCTATGATTAATTTTAATCAATGAGCCAAACCCAAACATCTCAATTCCGCTGTTTTCATGATTCTTGGCCTCTTTGGCCGTTTCCCCATCTACCCATTGAGGACTAAGGATCAGACAGAAAATAACAAATACATCAAAGATCGACACACTGTGCTCTACTGTTTATTAACAGATATCTGGTCTAGTGAACCACAAACTGGTGGCGCTAGTATTGTCCGCCGTTCCCTTAAGATGCTGGTATTTTTCTTGGCCATTCCGGAGCTTTTATCAAACAGAAGTTTCCAAGAGACCCTCGTCTTTTCTTCTTTCCTTCACGTCAACTATTTCAATTTTCACAAGTTTCACTCTATAGTTACGCTCTCTCCAATCTTGCCAGCATCTTTGATGGAACCTCAGCGTTACAATTAACCAAAATCCATAGATGCACCAAAGAAACAGACTGAGCACGATCAAACCCGCACCAGTCCACGTGTCGGTCAGTGCCATGTAGTGCCATGCCCCTTGCGCACAGAGATATGAGCTGGCAAACACCAGAGGGCTGAGGATTAGAAAGCAAATCAGGTCTCCGCAGAGATAACGGCGCTCGCGGCGGCTTTGGCCTTTCGTGAACCACTGGAAAGAAAAATAGAAAGGAAAATGGGCTAACAAGTTCAAAAAGGAATTCAGACAGACCAGCGTTTCCCCTGAGCGGTCCCATAAGTGCTTGCGCGGCGACTTTCATCCCAATCAACACTCTTCTTTTTAATTTACCATCGAATAATTTGATATAATATTCTGCATACTTCCACAGGAAAACTGTACGTAAGTAAATAGTGATAAACTAACTCTCTTTATGGTTAAAAAATTTGTACCACGTTCTAGCCCTTGGACTAGTAGCTATCCCAGAGTATTAGCATTTGAGAACCTCAGAGGCATTTTAAGAGCGAAGATGAACCTTTCCTGAGAACATAACACAAAAAACCTGGTTAGGACTAGAACCCAAACCTTTTGATCGGGAGCAGCGCGCCTATAATGAAGAAACCGCATCAGCCACGCGCTTGTGGTAAACGAAAAAAAATATCCTTTAACAACAAAGAGGCTAGAGCTCAACGCCTGTCATCTGAGTTGTAATAAAAATATTTTAATTGAATAAAACATCTGGCTGCAAATAAAGTCTCTAGATATCATCAGCGATGATTTCAGTTTGAAATACTACATTCAATAAACTCTAAAATTAAAAACCAATTTACAGTGGCTACGCCTAAACTTGTGACATGATTTCTGTCAAGAGGATAAAACGAACCTCCTGAAATGACCTCGGGAGTTTCCTAACGTGGAACTCATGGCCACAAATTTCACAGGAGTCTTTGTTGGCCTTTGAAAGCCATTCCTCCAGGCACTGAACATGACACTTCCCTAAGGTTCCTGAGCAGAGACAAGGACTGACGAGCAATCCACGAACAGTTTCATCTCTGCAGATACGACAAGTGTTCAACAAATCGTCTGACGAGTGAGATAGTAGTTCCAAATGAAAATTCTGTTCAAAGAGACAAAATAAAGTTGGAAGTTAAAGAAAAACACCTACCAACAAATCGTTGAGTCTTTGGTCGTTAGAGTCTGATTTTGCATGTTCAGGAAATTTCTTTACTAAAAATAATTCTTTTTTAGATCCAATAAAAAGCTACTTGATTTCAGATCGTTTTTGAAATGCCAGTCAGCCAACCTGGAGCTCAATTTAGTTTCTTTTGGTGTTAATAAATTTTTACTTTGTCAATTTCCATTTCTTTCAGAACTATTCCTTGTAATATGAAGCTATCAAAAGAAAATCTGTGCGTCAGACGAAAAGCAGACAAAAATGTTTTTGAAAACAGGTTGAAATTTGATGTAACTATATACTTACATTTGATTGGTCCGAGTCAGCCGGGGATACTCTTCGATCTGCTATAGGAATGATATGTTGTTTTTCTGATCTCGAGTCGCTTTCCATCGTGACCAGAAAATTCTCTTGCAGCGATACTCCAGGTTAAATTTATGTGCTTTGTGTTTTTGCAAAAGCGGTTAAGGCTCCCGTCATATCAAGCTTAAATTTGCTGCTTTAGATGCTAATTAAGATTATGACGTATACGTCATTCTTTCTGTCGCACTTAATTCGATCATTCCGTTATTCAATGTTGTTCAACGTTTCTCCCGATGCAAGCTTTAACATAAAAAAAAATCAATGGCTAAATATTCTCGTGGTTTTCTTTTCAGCCGAGAGGGACAGTTTGAATTTTGTCCATCTCAATCAAAAAAAAAAAACTACATCCGTTTTTAAATTTGTCTCTGAACTCTGACGTCACATAACTTCGACAAGCCGTCAGTCTGGAAAAATTCTCACCGAAAATAATAGTATGTGGGAGTACGTCAGGTTGATGTTGGTATTGCGACATTTATCTAGACAAGAATAAATCCTAAATTTTATCCGGATCAACGCATTGTCTATAAAAATGAATGAAGGGAAGCAAGTTTTTAGAGGAACTGTTTCAACGTCGGTGGAAAAATTAATTTGGCTTTATCTACCGAGTTTATAATGTAAAATTAGCCACTGAAATGAGTTTCCAAAGGACCAACACTCGGAACGTCAGTTTTAGAATTCTTTATGGTGGCCAAACTCGCCTCAGTTGTTAAAATCCAATCAATTCATCTTGTCTTTAAAAAGATCGAGGAAAGATTTACGTGTAACCTCATACAATTCGAAAAGAAAGCCGTTGCCCCTAAGGTAATCTTTTTTTTTGCCATTGTTTCCTTCATCCAAGAACTGTATGCATAATAAAGTATGGGGTTATGCTGAAATCTTGACATAAACTTTGGATTAGGAGAATAAATCTGAAAATAAATTTAGCCCATAAAATAAGAACTCCATCAACTCTCAAAATAAAAACAAAAATTTATTCTACAGAACACTTGGCGCCTGTACAGCTCAAAATAATACAGTTGATATTTGTCCCAAAAGTTAAAAATACAAAAACAAACATAATTACTACTGTAGCGTTTTTAAACAGACTGAAGGCTGCTGGCGCGAGTCGGACATAAAATTCAAAAAGCCGTTCACATGGTCTTCACGATTTAACAAGAATTTGAGGAATGCACGAGTAAAGGATTTGGAAACTGAAGAGACCAAATTATGTACAGCTATTTACAGTTTAAATGCAAAATTATTGTTTTTAGAAATAAACTTACTCTAAATCTTCCTTGCCTATTTGTTTTTTGCTTTTGGGTTTCGCTTTCGTGGTGTTCTTAGACTTCAGAACTTTTTTTTTGTCCTTTCCTTTTTCGCTGGTTTTTTTGCCCGTGGAAGATATCTTACTCGCACTTGGCTTTGCTGCAGGTTTCTTGGTCTTCTTTGCTTTCTTAATTCCTTCACTGCTTTCTGCGACCGTAGACTTTTTGGCTTTAGGCTTCGACTTCTTTTCCAGTGCGGTGTCCTTAGAACCCTCACGTTTCTTTTTACTTGTACTTTCCTTGGTTTTATTTGAGGACTTTTTCTTTGGTCGCCCTTTCTCTTCGTTCTCTTTGTCTTCGCCGTCAACATCCTTCGGTTGTTTCTTACTGGTTTTCTTAACTTTATTCGCCTTCTTCTTGTTGTTGTCAATATCCCGTTCAGCGTTCTCCTTCTCTTTCAAAGCTTTCTTTTCCTTCTTTAGTCGTCTCTTCTCTTCTCTTTTCTCCTCTTCTTTCACTTCCTTTGAAAGTTTAAACGAGCCCGAAGCTCCAGCTCCCTTCGTTTGCACGAGGCGTCCTTTACCGACACTTTTGACCAGCGCGAGTTTAATCTGATTGTTAGCGGTCTCACCGACCAGATACTTTCCCTTGATGTACTTGGTTATGGCTTGTCGAGAAGAGCCTCCTTTCTCGTTGAAATATTTGACTGCTTCTTCCACCATTTCAGTATACTTTGGGTGTTTAGGTTTAGCGATGACAACCTGGGGAATAGAGTCTTCTTCAGACATGGTGAGACTTCAGTTCTGGAAAAACCACAGACAGTTTAGCTTAAAAAAAGCAGGGCTCAGAAGTAGTGAAAAGACCTGCGAAATGGGGATTATATAACCCGGCCTGTACCAAACACGTGCGTGGGAATGTTTCAAATCATGACGGAATTGATTAAAATTTCCTCCCTAGAGACATATTCTTTTTTGCTTGAACAGGCTGAATGAGGTTCATTTACACATTCTATAGCGTTGTTGCGTTTTGATATTAGACCCTGAAATTGCTAATTGCTTACATTCATTATTCAGAATAAAGGCGATGAAACTTAAGATAATAGATGTGATCTAATATTTCAATCGTTTATTCATAAGTTTTTGGTTCTTCTTTTGAAGATTTCAGGGGAAAGTTCGCAAACTGGGATACCGCCTTCATTTTCGAACAAATACTAGTGGACGTGAATCAAATGAGTAAAAGGAGAGCATGCCTTGACTTGTCCGTCTGTATCTCTATTCAGTTTCAAAGAAAGACACAGAAATACAATTAATGCTTTATTCTACACTCAAAGAAACAAGAATTGTGGAATAAAAGATTTGTTAATTTTCATGTATGGAAATTATGAAAATGTTTGAGTCAGGGGTCAACGAGAGAAAAGAGATTGTCTTTGTATTGTGCCCCTTCTTTTTCCGATAAAAAATAAATTCGAGTATGCCCTCAAACTGCAAATCAAAGTTCTTTGATTTTTATTTGCTTAAGGGTGGGTAATGTTACTGAGGAAAAAAGGTATACCAGCGGGCCATGAATTCAGTCATTCTTAATTAAGTGGGCGAGGCAGCGACGGAAACGCTTTGTCGAACGGTGGAGGTTTTTCCGCTCTATACCCTTTTAGACCTCTTAACCATTTGTGGAGCTGAAAAAGCAATCAAAGATGCTTTGTTAAGACGCGTGCTTCGATAAGTTCCTTATGCTCAGTCAATTTGTATTGATCGAGTTTTCATTGAGGCTGCCGCGTGGAAAGCTGAGACAGCAAGGAAAGAATCTGGGAACGAGGATTGCGACGCTCAAAATTCGCCATCTTGTCTTCTTCTTTGAAATGACTGTAAGTAATCAGTGGGTGTGGATCTTCATACCTAATAACTGACCAAATGAGGAGTGAGATATAAAAAAGACCCGTGAATACTCGGGGTAAAGGAGATGAACGAAGATACGATGGACGAGCTGGCCCCAAGAGCGGAGATCTTCAGATCAAAACTCATCGAGGATTTTCAGCTTATCGACAGGGTTGCCAATAGTAGCGGCGCAGAGCCACCAAAATACTATTCCAACGAAATAACAGGTATCTGTTTTTTCACGATATTCTGTGAAATCTTTCAGGTATGCTGTTTAGCAACCAATCATTTCTGGTCAAATATTTCGAGGAAACTCTTCGCCTCTAAATATCAGTGGGTATGACGTTGGCAAAGCTTGGAAAGCAACAAGTCTTTAAAAATTCTTCTCCCACGTTTCCAGGCTCCATATTCAGTTTTTGAGATCGTAGACTTTTTTAAATAGGTTTCCCGTAAATTTTGTTTCAGACGACGAAGTTATGAAGCAACTTTTAAGAGAGACTCCCCAAGGCTTGATCAAGTTTCAAATCTACTCTAAGAAAGATGAACAGCGCTTTGTAGATCGTCGCTTGAACAGAGTAAAGAACAAAAATGCTATTCCACTTGGACCATGGGCACACACTGTCATAGAAGGTTTGTTTAATGAATGATGATGGCTTATCGTTTTTTACTCAAATGATTGCATTGATCAAGTTTGTGTAAAGTGGCTGTTAACAATGTGATGTGATTTAATCTATCAACAGATCCAAGGATTCAAAACTTTATGATGATTTTGATCATAACAAATTCTATTGTATTGGGAATCCAAGCCGGTGAGCAAAAAAACTAGTATCCCTAATCTGCTATCATCCTACTTGTTAGTAACCCTTGAATCAAAAATTAGCACTCTATGCTATCATTTTTCAGAAATATCCAAAATTGAGGATTCCTCACTGTATGGATTAAAATTGGTTTTACAAATTTTTGATTACTGCACATTGACCATTTTTGTACTTGAGATAATCCTCAAGTGGATTGATGGATTCTGGAGTTTTTGGAAAAATGGATGGAACATTTTTGACTTCATTGTGACGGTAATGGTATGTATAAACACCAATTGTAACATTTCAGTAATAGTTATTAACCCTCCAATTAAAATGAATGAATAAGAGTGATCTTCACAGTATCCCACTATGCCCTAAAATCAGTTTTCATATTTTGTGCAGTTCTCTATACATTTTCTAAGGTGTTCACAACGATAATTTTTTCAACACTCGAGAGCTTCTTGAGTAGGTGATCGTTTCATTTATTCTCCAACTTTAATGTCTGATTTAGGGGTGATATTGTAAGGAGAAATTAGATGCTTGTCAGTCTTAAGGGTCAAAGGGTTAATGACATAGATGATTATCTTCAGTACTTCAGTCCTGTCCTTTCACACTACTATTTGTGCATCAAGTAGAAATATATCTTTCATTTCAATCCTTTCAACGATTTTAGTCATTTGTGCCAGAAATCATTGAGCTGTCATCAGGAAAAAATACAGCAGAAGTGGCTGTCATTGCTGAAAACTTGAGAGTATTCCGAATTTTGCGATCCTTGAAAATGGTGAGAATACTTACTACAGTTATGGTTGTTCATTGGTGAATTATTTCATAATTATGAATATGGTAAAAATTATAGAAAACAGTACCTAAAAAATAGCAAAGGTGGTAAATTTTTTCATTGAAATATGATTTGGAAGTGTAAGAATACAGTAATTAAATAACTATTTGCATAGAGTAAATGTAACATTTGTTATCAATCATTTCAGGTATCAAGGTTTGCCCAGCTAAGGATCATTGTCCTTACCATTCTCAAAGCATTTAAGGTATTGAAAGCGAAACAACTTACAAATAAAACATGGATTTGAGGGAAGATATCTTTATAAAACAGCCCAATTTAAATTAACAATACTTTCATTAGCCAATGTCCTCAGCCTTAGTAAATTCTTCACCTTCATCAATTACCTTTTATCTTTTTTCCAGTCAATGGCATTCATCCTCATTTTGTTGATGACTTTTATGTACATTTTTGCTGTGGCTGGAACAGTCATGTTTGCTTCATACTCCAAGTCAGAAAGAACAGACCTCAAGTACAAACAGAGTTTTAGGTAAATCTCCTGTCAAAACATTGCATATTTTGGTACTAATTTGTTGGTGATCACAATAGTAAATGTACACACCTGTACGTCCACAATTTACAGATTGCCTGACTCCCCTTCTGCTTCTCAATTTCTCCATGTCTATGCACATTAATAGTTTAGTATTGTCTTACCAGTAGTTAATCAGCATAGCAAATCTATTGCAGCACCCTTGGTAATGCCTTGGTCACATTGTTTCAACTCTTCACCTTGGATCACTGGTATGACATCCTCAGAGATCTTATCAAAGTGGTAGACCCCATCACAGTCGAGATCTACATCATCTTATGGATCTGTATTGGAGCTTTCATATTCAGAAATATCTTTGCTGGCATTATGGGTATTCATGCTATGAGTTTCTTTAATTATAATGAGAGTAACCTGAAGCTGACTTCCTCATCTTCAAAGATTAGAGGGCAAAATTCACCTTCACCTGATATTGGGATATTTGAACAAGGATGTCCCCCCCCCTTTTTTTTTTTTTGATAAAAACTGATTACTATTCTTGAATATGCAACATCTTAGTATATCTCTCAGTCAGCATATGCACTATGACCAGTCCATTAAGCAGGCTGTATTTTGTTGTATCACCCACTAAATACAAAAGTTTGTTTGAATTGAAATTTTCCTCCTCTTTTTGAATTTTAAGATGTGATAAATATCTTACTAACCAGGTTTTCTCAATCCAAACTGTAAATTAAAGAACCTTGTTTTTTTCACTTGGATTTATGATCCATGTGCTTTCCACTTGAGCCATGAAAATGGGCAGGAAAAAATTGGTCTGTAACTTACACTGAGAACCTGACTAAACTTGGTTAGTTAGGGGTATATACACATAGTTTTATGATTATCAAATATTCATGACATCATCTTAGAATAAAACAAAATTCAGCAAGAAACAGGAGAATATTGAATTTGGGTTAGACTGACATGGGAGGATTTTAGTAGTCTCAAGGCCATTGTAAAGCTATTTGATACTTGTTGCAGTCATGAACTTCCAGAGCATTCGAAGGGATTTTAATCAACAAGTGAAAGAGCAGACTGAAGCCATAGAAGCAGAACAAATGAGAAATCACTTAGCAGAGGAGCTGGAAAGAAAGGACAGATTGCAAAGTAGAACAAGGTATCAATTACTGAAACACCTGGTACAACAACGGACTCCAATTGAACTTTGGTGTTAAAGAATTTAGTAAAACTGCAAAAAAATTTTTTCATCTATCTAGGCGAACCAGCAGTTTGGGTGCTTCCCTGTTCCAGGAACTAGGAAAACAGCTTGAACCTATGTCAACACTAGTAGAGACTGAAGAGGAAGAAGAAGAAAGCTTTGAGCACAGAGATGACAGTGGAATTAAAGACTCCTCCTCTCTGCCTCAGGAAGGAGAAAATAAATCAAAACCAGAAACAAATGAACCTGACCCTTTAGCTACATTGGGAGACAAACTTGCTCAAATAAGGTAGCATAGTCCTCTTGCTCATGATCTTATATCAAGAGTAAGTTTCTTTGTGGAAGCAACCTGATCAGGTTTTAGGTTATGGAAAATGTCTTAGAAAGTAATGTATAATCACCACAAATACTGGTGGTGATTTATTTGAGGATTTTTTCAAAATTCAAAGTCTCTAAATTAAAAGTCACTTTAACTCTAAAATACAGAGAATCAGATACAATTAAGAGTTAAATTTTTATCTATTTCCCAACCATTACAATGAAAGTACTCTTTCAACTGACCAAATCCAGCTGATTGGTGATCCATGCATAAGAGATGGTGGTTGTTGCTTTAAGGGAGAAGAGGAACAGCTGGAGCAAACAGAGTGGAGTTGACCAGCAGCCAATACCAGAATTACATGGAGAGTTTGCTCATGACAAAGCTAAAGACATGACAAATGGTTAGTTTTCTTTCTTCTTACAGTGTATGTGGAAATCTAGGTTGACATTTTGTACCTTATATCGATGATGGTTTTACCCTCCCCTCCCCCACACACACCCTCCTCCTTTCTGTGGTGTTTGGCACTTTCCTTTTTGGCAAATTTTTGTGTTAAATTTTCTAGACTGGATCACGACAGTTCAAGCAAATCTGACTGATCTTAAGAACCACCCTGTGGAGACGCTGTGGCAGAGAGACACGCTGTTTAGGTAGGAAAAATAGCAAATAAACAAGGAGCCTCAAAATAGAATGCTTCAAACAATTGATGGATTAAAATTGTGTTTGAAAAAGAAAAGTCTCTTATTTTTTAAATTAATTTTGAATTTGTGCTGTAGATATTTCCAGTTAATGGAAGCCTGGCAAGAGAACCTTGCTGAACGACAGCAACTCATTCGTATGGCTGGTGAGTGAAAGGTTACTTGTCCATCACTGACATTTCTAACTTTACTAAAACTGTTGGCAAAACTGAAAAATCTCAGTGCTGGTCTTGTAATCATGAGAAATATGATTTGTTTCCTGTTTTCTACACAGACATCTGCTAAAGCACTTAAATAATTGATGTTTTTTTTTTTTTTATTACAGGCCAAGCTTTGCTTAAGCTCCATGATACTTGATCACAAATTAAGCCTTTAAAAATGAACTTGATTAAATCAGGACTGCTTCTTCTGACAAGGACTGTTTAAATTTAAACACTCAGGGTATTAGTTAAACTACATTGTCTTGTCTTTGAGAAATTTGTACATTGTGCTGGTTGTAAACAGTTCTGTAAGAAGTCATGATCCTGAAGTGTGGGACATTATCAAGCTGCAAGTTCTTCTTAAGCAGCTTTGTGTTCTACTCTAATTTATGGTTATTTTCGAGATTCCAAGTTCTAATAGGAAGAATTTTGGCTTTTAAATTATTTTTACTACTTAAAAAAGATTCATCCTGTCCAGTTTTGAGATTAATTTATTAGATGATGTTGGCAAGGTTTATGTAAAACAATAGTGGAATATTGTACCTTTGTTTCTAGAGTTGCTTTTAATGATAAGTGTCCTTCATTCAGAATTCATTTAATTATTATTTAAATTTAAGGCATAAGTATTCAAATAAAGCAGCCAAATTCAGAAAAAGTAACTGAACTTTATTTTGCTTGGTTCTAATCTTTGTAAATAATCAAACTAACATTCAGTGGCAAGCTAAAATTCAGCGATTCTTCTTGGTCTTTAGCTGTTGTGGAGGGACAGGGTTTGATGTTGGGGCATGTGTGGAAGCAGCAATCTTGTTAATGTAGTATATGGCTACCATTGAAAACAGAAAGCTGAAGAGTAAAAAAAAGAGTATTGAATGGTTCAATATAGTTTGAATTTAGTTTTGGGTTCTTCAGATTTTAATGTGAACAATATGATGGATTAAGTGGCCAAGGCCAGTGCTGTGAACTCTGAATTAAGGGGTGTAAATTTGATCCCAGACTGGGTTATCATTGCCTTATGATAACAACTAGTGGCTTAATACAACAACAAAAGTAAATAAATGTACAACCAACAGCACTGTTAGAATGGTGAAAAAATTGTCATCAACTTACCAGGTTGTTACGCAAACTCTGTGGACTAGGCCAGAGGCAAACATTGCAACTACCAGACAAAGTATAACTTGAAGAAAATGTAATAAATGCAATATATTAAAAAGACATGTATGGATACTCAGTTGATGATATGTAAATAAGAAATTGGATGATAAAAAACTGAATTGGACACTAGCACATCCTTAATACTGTTCATTGTCCTTTGTTTCCAAGTTGTACCAGCCATTAGTGTGTTAATTTTATAAAGGGAGCAAAATAGAGGATCCAATAAAAAGAAAGAAAACTAAAAAGACCACATAAGTCTAAGTTTAAGATACCAGGTATGAACTACTTTGGTAAAAGGTGAGGATTGTCACTACCTGGAGCCCACACTTTGATGTTTTCTAGTGGTTGGTATGGTTAATGCAAGGCTGCATCTATAGTGATAATTACTCACAAGAGCCAAAGCAGGGCTGTTATTAGAAGCTGGTGGAAAGCCACTGGCTGTCAGATCATGTTGTGCTAGCTTCTTTTTGAGTTGTGTTCAGAGACAATAAATAATTAGTGGTTCAAGAAATGTCTCATTTCTTTAAACCAATATAAACAACAATTGGATCCTCATCAACAAAATTCAAAATATGTACCTTCTGGGAACAATTTTGTTTGAAAATTTCGACCAAACATGGTTGTTTCCAAATTTCCTACTGCCTGGTGAATTAAATGTCAAGGAATACGCAACTCGGATGTTAAGACTCACACCACTAGAAAATCACTTCAAATAAATTAGTTTCATAAACAAGATGCTTATTTCATTGGCTTCTAACAATAATCTAATCACGAAAAAATTACAAAACTTGACCCAGATATATAATCCCCATCAGATACCGTCTTTGATTACTACTTTTTTCATACGAGTCTCTGATAAGTACCATCAAGAGACATTTCAAGCGTTCAAAAAAAAACCCTGTAAAGGTTTACTACACTCAGATCAATGGAAGTCTTTGTTCTTGGTGAATCTGGACGCTTTCAGCGTATATAATGTCAAAGAATCACGAAAATGAAATCTTTCCAGCCAAGCCTTAGATGAATATCCTAGAGCTCACATATGATCTTTCATAAATAGTAGAGGATACAGTTAGGAGGAAGACGAAGAACTGTGATCCTATGAATCCCCCCAATATGGTCATCCACTCGCTGGACGCCAAGTTTGCTTTGAACATTTGCATTCCAGCGAAAGTTAGCACGGTTAATGTTGTCGCAAATAGGAACGAGGTAGACGACGGAAGAGCTGTGATTCAAAACAACCGTATCACTGTTAATTCAAAGGAAAATTTCCAGATTTATAAGCGAATGTAGATATCATAGTAACACTCACCCATGTTGAAAGGGAAAAAGTGGACAACTCAGCTGTTCGCCCCAGTATTTCGCTGTCAAATATGCATACATTCCCGGATGATATGTTGGAACATGGCGGGTCATAGAAGGTCAAGTTAGCTAATGTATTTTCCGCAAATTTCCAATGTTTGTAGCCTATAGTGATGATGAATGAGTTAAATTTTAAGCCGAGAAGAATACCAAACCAGAATTTAGTGTGGAGGCTACGTCAGAGGGAGACTCATTTTCCAAAACCCGGAACTCACTGGCATCAAGCACGAGCTTTCACTCAAAACATTTTTCCAAATTTCACGATTGTGAATGTTGAAACACCTCCGTGCTATCTGCGAAAATTCTCACCAGATGGCCGTTATTTCGTTGCATTCTCATTAGATCAAAGCTCTGTTGAGGTGTACGAGTTCCAAGGGCCAAGTGCAGCTGAGGAATTGCTTGCTAAAGAATCGCCAGACGTCGAGATAAGGAGCAGATTGTTCAGTAGCTTCTTCCGTCTCAGCTCCGTTGTAACCGTGGCACAAAATGGAGAGCATTTGAACAGAGAGTGTAGTTTATTTACTGACGATGGCCGTTATGTTATAGTTGGATCAGCTTCGTATGTCCCAGAGGAACCGCATCCATATTTCTTTGATATCTACAGTAACAATGAGTCGGTCTCTCCAAATCCCAGGTCACCTCTGGAAGACTACACAATCCACATCGTTGATATGAAAACTGGAATGCTGTCAGATTCCAGAGTGTTCAAGTGTGATAAGATATTCTTATCACACAATCAAGGACTGTACTTATACAGGGACCTTCTTGCAGTTTTATCTGTTCAACAGCAACAGATACACATTTTTCAGGTTACGTCCGATGGCAAGTTTATTGATGTGCGCACAATTGGTCGATTTTGTTATGAGGATGATGAGTTTATGCTAACTTGTGTCAGGAATGTTGATGCCAATGGCCAACCCATTGTGCGACCGTACATGGAAACCTGTCTGAATGGACTGAAACATAGAATTCTGGCCCATCTGTGGAGATGTGCATATAACGAAGGCACTGCTTTAGCAATGGGGAGATTTTATCAGCATGTTGAACTGTTCAGAGCTCTGAGAATGTGGAAGATGCAACTTTTTGATAGTAGGATTTTGCTGATAAAGTATGCCAGTGAAGATGTAGTAACACTGAGGGTCCCAGATCCAAACTCACAGCCATCATTCTTTATCGTGTATGACATGGAAACAACCAAAGTCTTGGCTGTGTTTGAAAACACTTCAGAGAAATTGTTAGAACTTTTCGAACAGTTCTGTGACTCTTTTCGCAATGCTATGTTGCATTCACCAGCGCAATTCACTTGTTCAGCTTCAAGCAATATTTTTGCCCGCCAAATTCAAAGACGATTCAAGCACACCATTGTTAATGCAAAATATGGAGGGTATACTGAAGCTGTCAAGCGTCTTCTTGCTCAGTTGCCAATCAGCTCCCAATCTTACAGTAGCAGTCCTTATTTGGACTTGTCCCTGTTTAAATATGATGACAAGTGGGTGTCTGTCATGGAAAGGCCCAAAGCATGTGGAGATCATCCAATAAGGTACAAGGTTAGGTTTAGCTGACTTAAAAAGTACCACTAGAATCTTAAAACTGAGGAAAAATTTTAAACCCCAACATCCCCCACTGATATTTTTACACATTGCTCATTCTCAGGGTGTAAAAGAGGACAACTGAAATAGGGAATTAACCCTTTTCCCCCATAGGAGTGATTGACATCTTATTTCTCCTTACCCTATCACTGTTGCATCAACCATTAAGGTCATGAGAAGCTCTCAGTTGTGGAGCAAATTTTCCATGTAAGTACCACTAGAAATGTATTGGGAACAAAATGGAGAATATGCAAAGTGTCTTGGGGTGTAAAGGGCTAACAATGTCTTTATTAAATTTCAATGTACACAGCTTTGTAAAAAAATTGCTGTTTAGAACTTCTTTTTTGTTTATGATGAACTTGAGCCAGCAAAATTTGTGTTGCTGATGTTTCTTTCTTTTGCAGGTTTTATTCTAGGGATTCAGGGCTTCTGAAATTTAAGATCCACGCTGGTTTCTTGGGTCGCCCAATTCCACCAACAGGAAAGAGGCTGGTGGCATTCACTTTTCACCCTCTCTATCCATTTGCTATCTCGGTACAGAAAACTAATGCAGAATATGTGGTAAACTTCCATATCCGACATCTTACTAGTGGTGTAGAACATACTTGAGTGTAATCTTAATCCAGGAACCCTTACTGTGATAAACTGTTGTTTAGATGAGGACAGGGTTAAGGTCAGCTTGCAAAGCAAGGTTTGGAATCTACTCTCGAGATGTTTTTTAATCAAAATAGAAAATGTAGGTATCTATGTTGAGGTTCAATATTCTTGTTAGTTGAAATTTCATTTTCATTGGTTTCTTCACATAACCAGAAACCAAGAGAAGATAGAATTGTACAGATATATTCAGATCACAATAGTTTTGGAAAAAATGTAATAAATAAACATGTGATGCAAAGAATTGACCTAAGTAACTGTTGTGTGGTTTGGTGTATTTTGTTGATCTCACTGGGGAAACAATTTTTTAATATAAACCAGGCTCTCTTTTTTTTTCCACTCTTTCTTTTGCAAACTTTTGTTGATAGTTTGTGGGTTCATTTAAAGTCAGAAAGATAATGGACTTACACTCCAGCAACTGTTGGCCAACAGCTTTAGTGTCAGGTGCTCATCTTTATCATCCACTTCTGCTCTAACGCATACACTGGGGATTTCAAACAACTGTAACAGTTGAGCAATTCCTCTTTGGAATCACATGGGGATGTTTGTGACAATAGTTCCATATTGTAAAAAATTAAATTATGAAAAGAAAGTGATTAATCAGTTCAATTTCAACATCATTGATTAATGTTTTTAAAGAAATGTGGTAAAGAATACTTAACCAGCAAATAGGTATACTTCATTGTCAGACTTAATGTGCTGTAGTAGCTGATGCAGTGCTCTAAAATCTTGCAGAACTGGTCCTAATATGGGGCAGTTGAACATTGCTGGAGGTAAAGAATCTAAAACTAAACTCCATTATTTTCAGTCACTAAAAAAAATCTTATGGGTGACAACATACCACAAACAAAGTCTGTTTGCTTGATCAGTGAAAGGTTCAGTGATGTTGACTAATGCAATTAAAAACAACACAACACCATTCAGCAGTGTTTCAATTATCTTTATTACTTCAAATTTACACAGCACTCATTTTGCACTGCTCACTGACTCTCGGTGACTTGAGGAAGCACGCTTTTTCTTCAGCATTTCATGACGCTTCTCCTTAGCCTCCTTAGCTCTCTTGGCGAGTAGCCTAGTGTAATCAGCATACTCCTGCTTGGCTTTCTGTGCTCTCATCTTTTTCAGGGCCAAGATTTTACGCTTGCGCTGCAACACCACAGGTGTGACCAGGCGCTGGATCTTGGGAGCCTTGGTCCTTGTCTTCTTGCCTTCTTTTTCTGGGAGTGTCCTCCTGATAACATACTGACGCACATCATCTTCCTTGGACAAGTTAAACATCTTCCTGATCTTGCCAACTCTCTTAGGGCCAAGGCGGCGAGGCACAGTGGTGTCTGTGAGGCCAGGAATATCATTATCACCTTTCTTGATGATGACCAAGTTTAGCACACTGAGCTGGGCATCTACAATGCAGCCACGCACAGACTTGCGCTTACGCTCACCAGTTCTGCGTGGCCTGTAGCAGGTGTGGCCTTTTGAGAGCAGAAGACGCACACGGCCATTTGTCATGACTCCCTGTTTCATGGAGAATCCCTGTTTGTCATTTCCTCCAGAGATTCTGACCACATATCCCTGTAGAAAGGCAACATTGACCACTTAATAACATAGTTAATCAAAATATGACAAAATTCTTTAATATGAATGGTTATCACCAGCCTGATTTTAGCAATAATAGGACAGTGTATGCATCATGTTTGTAACTGAACAGTGTAATAGGAAAGTTGACATGCTATGCCTGTGTAAGTGGACAGTACCCCTCACAGGCTTCCATTGTTGTCACTCATTTTGCCAAGTTAACTGTGGTTTTTTCTTTCACAAAAAAAATGTCATATTTCTTTCTAAAATTGTGTCATAGTTCTGATTAATTGGTGACAGGACTTGGTGTTGTCCAATTCATGATGGTAATAGGACCAAGTAGAGTCCAATTTGGTCTGTAATCATAAGAGTGATTAACAAAATTAGACAAGCACAAAGCAAGAGTCTGATTTGTCAATCACAAGTATGATTACAGACAGAATTGGATGATACAAAGTCCTGTTACCAATTAATCATAACAATTTCATTTCCAAAAAAACAAATACACCTAGAACAAATATCTCCAGTGGATACAAGGTCTTTTGTTACAAATTCCTCCATTTTGAAAATTCCCCAGTTTTTCTTTGGATAAGTTGTTGTTGCTTTGGTTGTTGATATCATTTCTGTAATTGGTGGATTAGCTGAGTGGACTTAGCATGATTGGCTGCTTAAACTGTCTGATTACAGGTGTCCAATTATAGCCAACTGTCTGATTACAACTGTACAGAGTGATTAGTGAAAAATGAAGCTGCGAATGCAGCAATAATATTTGAGGAATTTGTAATGGTTATGATTACGTCTGTAATTGTACTTGTGATCAACAATTTGGACTCCCCCTCTGGGGTCCTCTGATTTTGTTAATCATGTCCATTGAATTGAACAGTATGCATCATGTGTATGTGATGCACATTCAGGGCGTGAAATTGCACCTAATACAGGTGCCAATACGACTAAATTTTTCACTTTGGCGACCAAATCCTGAAAGTTAGTTGCCAAATTGGCCACTACAACGTTTCATCATAAATTTGCAAAGATAAATCCACGGCAAACTTCCTCGTTTAGTTTGTTTCCAAAACGTAGCACATGCATCTCGATCGATAACTACACGCCATCTTGGATTTAAATGAGCCTAAATGTTGTATATCGTATATCCTAGTGTCCACTTTGTAGCACGTTAAAGATCTCTTCACTAACTTAATTTTGGGGGGTCTATCTAGAACGCTGACAGCGTAAAGAAAGATTTTGTTTGTCTTTGAAAATGGCGACCAACTTTTTTTGAATTGGCTACCACTTTGAAGAATTTAGGAGCCAAGTGGCTATCAGAAAGAAAAGTTAATTTCACACCCTGACATTTAACCAAGATGACTAGTGTTTTTTTTTTCATGAAAATGTGTAACTGATCACTAGTTTGTTTCTTAAATTTTTTCATAGCATTGATTAATTATGAACATGACTTTAAGTTGCCCAATTCTGTCTGTAATCACACTTGTAATTAACAAACCAGACTCTTGCTTTGTGGTTGTGCAATTCTGTTGATTACTTGCAAGATTACATACTGAATTGGATCCTAATCAGTCATATTATTATTATTACTAAAAACAAATTTGCTAGGTGAATAGGTTACCTGTATTTAAGTTTACAGACACATCATGCTGTACTGTATCTAGATACTAGAGGAAAAGGTTTAAAAGTTGACTGACCTTCCATTCCTCACCAAGACATTCAGCACTGCACTCAGCTGAAATACGTTTTTCATAGAAGTTTCGCCTAAACAGGAAAAAACAAAAATGGCTCATTTCTAGAGACAGAGGCAAAGGCTTACTGTGTAGCATGTTAGAATCTGGGTCGCAAGGCTCCAGTTTAACCCCTGGTAGGATGATTTTAATTATGATCTCTGGAAACAAACTAGCTGTAGCTTTGTATATACTATTATTTTACCCAGGAGCATAAATAGCTAATAGTGAATTATCAGAGAATCTTGACAAAGTGTGAGGTGAAGGGGGGGGCACTGCAATGGTCTAAAATTCCACTGGGGGGAGAGTACTGGTACTCCTGAACATTTTATACCAAGGAAAGTGGCCACACTCCAGCCATTAACCCGATGGGAATTATCCTAATATGACCTCAAGTGCCTTTTTTTTAGTGACTATTACTTCACTACAACTGGGTGATTACATTTGAGCAAATATAAACTAAAGCTGGCTTGCATTAATATTAACTAGATATGAAAGCCAGAATCAACATCAACAAAATCTTGTCCATATCTTTACACTTAATATGTCAGGTGTTTAACAAATACTCACAGCTTTTTTTCATCATCAACTTCAATGAGCTTCTGGCACCCAGTGGCTGGGTAAGAAATGTTGAGCTAAAAGAAAAAGATAGAAAAAGAGAGTGTATCAAAACCATAGCACACCAAATGATTCCACAGGTTTACCAATCCACACAGCATAAATAAACAACCTGTCAGTTCCATAACTATAACTTAAGGAGTTTATTCTGATGAAGGCATGGTTTACATTCATGGAAACATTATAAGAGATTCCACATATAGCACAATCCATGGTTTAGAAAAAGTGGTCATATAATTGCCAGCAAAGAGAATGAGCGTGACATTTCAATCTTACTATATAACCTCATCATAGCACAGAGAAGACCTTGAATGTCGCTCCTTTGAAAATCTAAAAGTACTGGACTTTGTTATCGGAAGACTTTACCAGTAATTTAATACTGAACTGGAGAATTTTATAGACTTAGCACTGTCAGATCACAACAGCCCCTTATCCACTCTGGATGGTTCAAGAGTGCACATGTACTCACAAACATCAAAATGTCGATCAAATTAATTAACGGTAGGATTCCTAGCGCATTCAAATGTGCTGCACAAGGAAAATTTTAAAAGCGTTAGTCTGAAAAAAAAGCCTAATGCACAGATCCTTCTCAACGAAATGAACAGTTTGTCCCAGATCATAACTCCTGGGATCAGTTGTCTCTGTTCATTCCTTAATGAAATCTAAAAAATCTAGGATCAGGGAAATCCATCTGCCGGAAAATGAGTCATACATGGAGAGAAGAATATATATATTTTTCATTTTTATCGAAAGTTCCCTAAAGTGGGCAAGGATATGTCACTTTTTATACCTTCATCGTTCGTCTCCTCTTTGACGAGAAGAATCTCACAAGAAGCAATGAAAAGAGAACGAGAAGGACGGTTCGCATGCATTGTGGGTACTCAGGTGAGAAGACAGCCGAAGGGACTGGCAACAACACATGCGTAGTATAATACAAAACAAAGATGGCGGATAGTTTGGATGAGTAGAAGAAAGTTATGTTTGTAGAGTAAAATGTTACACGAGCTTTTGCTGGCCTTATCAGGAGATTCTGGTGGTATCTTTGTACACAAAAAGTTTGCCGGACTTCAGGTTTGAGCTTGTACATGTTCAACTGACCACATGTACATAAATCTTGAAGACCTCTTTGGCGCCAATATTTTCAAAACTTGATAAGTTTATAGGTGAATATTAGCCCACGGAAGGTGTATTTTTTCCATCTTAGGTTGCTACTGATTTGCCATTTATCCATGGGAGTGAAGTTGATCTTCTGAACAGAATCTGCAAACTTGGGACTTACTTCCAAAACTTTCAAACGTTTCGTAGAAAGTATTCGGAAGTTTCACCCTATCTTAAAACGATCAAACGATCCAAAGATGGTAAGCAAAACTATGAAATATTTTATGTTTTTGATATTTTTTAAATCGAGAATTTATTCTAACAGACGGTATTTCTACTACATTGTCTTGTGTCTAGGAACAACTTCAGCAGATTCCTTCGGTTTGTACATCCAGGCATTCTGTACTGGTTTGGACCAGGTCCTGGATTCTTATAGGAAAAGCTTGATCGATTTAGAAAAGCAGGTAATTGGTTTCAGTCATACATGACTGTTGTTAATACCTTTATGTTTTATTGTTTTCTTTAAATGAATATCACAAAGTTCAGTTCTCGAAATCTGTGACAATCATTATGTTTTATTTTGTTATTATAACAGATTCTTAAAGATCCTAAGCTGCCACTGACTTTTATCGAACACAGCTTAGAAAAGGTTTGTTTATTAACCCTTTAAATCTCATGAGTGATTGACATTTATCTTCTCCCTATAATATCCATGCATCATCCAGCAGAAAGGTAATGAGAATATTCAAACTTATCACCTAGAGGATGTTATTTTGATCTGTTAAAACTAATTTAACTAATTTACAAGAGTATGTGTAGCAGCTTTGGATATAGTTATAGCACTTTTCATGGTGGTAAAGTTTACCAATGATCCTTTCCTATGACATTCCTATCCTTGCAGTATGCAAGAAGTTTATCACCATGGACTTAATTAATTGGCTTAGCCTGCCTTAAGTCCCCTGTAGCTCAGTGGTAGAGCATCGGAAGTACTAATCAGAAGGTCGTAGCTTTGACTCCTGATGGGAACACTAGCAGTTTTTTTTCTTTGAGTATGCCTGTGTAACTCACTGAATAACATCTTCTTTCATCCTTGAATATTTGTATCTTACCCTTTTAGTACCAAGCTTTGTTTCCTGCCCTGTGGTCAGTAATAGAACAGATCAAAGCAAGCAAGGTAGTCATGCTTATTTACCAAATGGTTCAATTCCCCAGAATTTGATGTTAGTTCATTTTTGAGTGAGTTTGTGCTAACTTTTAGAAAACATCTCATTTTGATACCAACTTATGTGGACTTACCATTATTAACCATTACGAAGAATCTGTCAACCATTGTTATGAGTACTGACTTTTGCCTATTTTCTTCCTGTGAACAGGCTTCAGGATGTCAAATTCTGGATATTTTGTACCAGAGCTGTAACTGTGGAATCCCTGATTTAAGGGATGCATTAGAGAGGTAATATCTCCTCAAATAAAATAACTCTGAGTTTGCCTTGCAACAGGACTTTGGGTGTCTCTTTTTTTGTTGTTGCATAATAC